GGTTGTTTCAACAAGAGAAAATCAACAGGCCATTGTCTTATCATCTACATAATTTCTGAAGTGAATCTCATGGGAACTATTATTGACATATTTCCAACTGTTTCATACCAGTGATGCTTTGTAACATCCCGACCCAAAATAAAAGAAATAGTGAATTAATTAATTTCAAGATTTATGAATTTACAATTTTGCCCTCGGAGTAGGGGTAATTTGGTCATTTTATTTCCGGAAGGAATTGGGGGCAGCGGGTTGTATTTTTATGTAGATTGTACCGAGACGAGTCCGTAGACACGTAGTGGGCTTGAATCGAAGTTGTAACGAGAAAGTTACGATCAAAATACCTTTAGTGGCATAATCGTAATTATTTCGGGATGGGATTTTAAATAAAAATCAGAAATTCTCTGAATTTCTCTCTCTCTCTCCCTCCCGTGCGACCCAGCCCCTCCCCCTCCATTTTTTCAGTTCAGCCGGTGGCTTCCAAGAACCACCGCCGCCGTCACAGGCCACGGTTGGCCACGAGATCGGACCCAACTGAACCGCCGCCACTCCCTCTTCACTTCCTGACCGGTCTCAGCCCCTGGAAACGCCGGAATCTCGCCGGAAAACTGCCAAAAACGCGCTGGTTTTTGACTGAACTTCCAGCTGCTCGTTCTCTCTCATTTCTCCACCAAATTGGACGTGTAAGGTATGGATTTCCAACTATTTTTCCTGATCTAGTTGCTGGTTGGGTAGGATTGCATCAATTTTGAGCGTGGGTAGTTCGATTTTCGAATTTAGGTTTGGCCGGACTTCGGGTTGAATTTCCGGCCACTTCCGGCAACTTTTTGGCCATAGCCCAAGAACAAAAGTGGTTCCAAATTAGGGGTTTTACCTAGGGTAGGAGTTTGGAGCCGTGATTCTAAGATTTTCCGGCGATGCGATATCGCTTTGGACACCCACGCGCTGCCAGCGCGTGTGTCGGCGCGTGGGCACTGTATCAGAGGGGCATTTTGTCCCAATGCGATCCCCTGGTTGTCACGAGCACGTAGGATTTTACGGATCTCAATTTGGATAACGTTTGAACCCCGAACGGATTTTACATAATGTGTGATTTCCGGGTTCGATAGGTTAGAACCGTTGGATCGCTTCCAATTTAATATGTATTGATCTAGGTTTTCCTAGGATCGTGTAGGAATTCGCGGATCGGGAATCAGAGCCCCGGATGTTCCGATTTAAATAGTTAAAGTTTGTGTTTTAAGATAACCGTCCGATTGTGCGATCGCGAGCGATCTAACCATCCAATTCGGACTAAACTTGCAGGACGTGTATCCTAGACCTTGTGGAACTCATAGGAACTTTCGGTTCGTAAAATGGAGATGTGGGCCCCGCGGGCCCGGTTGACCAAGTTTGGGTAGTTTGACCCTCGATTGACCGTGAGTCTTCCGGGGTAGTCCCACTCTTCAAAGAGTACTAGATTGACCCTTTTGGACGAGTCTTGACCGTCATTTGTTTTATGTTTATTATGTGGGTCTATGAGATTTATTGTATGATTTTTATGCTGGAAATCTTATGCTTTTGAATTTAATGGTTTATTTAAATACTTTTTATATTTATTAGTTGAATTCCTTATTTTTGTAAAGTAATGGTGATACATGGGGGTTTGACATATTCGAGTGTCTTGAGTTTATATTTAATAATTGAGAAAGTGTTATGTTTGTTGATTTTGTGTGGCGTACTTAGAATGTTAATTTGAGTGTTATTAGCACTACCTTAGATACCTCCCCGGTTATGGGTTTAATGTTAGAAAGGTTTTTGGTCTCTACTGTGATTGTTATGTCACACGTGTCGTTGGAGTTTTCCGGCGTGTGACGGACCCCATACGTGGCTGTGGATGTTCCGGCGTATGGGGTGGATTATGTGATTGTTATGTCACACGTGTCGTTGGAGTTTTCTGGCGTGTGACGGACCCCATACGCGGCTGTGGATGTTCCGGCGTATAGGGTGGATTATGTGATTGTTATGTCACACGTGTCGTTGGAGTTTTCCGGCGTGTGACGGACCCCATACGTGGCTGTGGATGTTCCGGCGTATGGGGTGGATTATGTGATTGTTATGTCACACGTGTCGTTGGAGTTTTCTGGCGTGTGACGGACCCCATACGCGGCTGTGGATGTTCCGGCGTATAGGGTGGATTATGTGATTGTTATGTCACACGTGTCGTTGGAGTTTTCCGGCGTGTGACGGACCCCATACGTGGCTGTGGATGTTCCGGCGTATGGGGTGGATTATGTGATTGTTATGTCACACGTGTCGTTGGAGTTTTCTGGCGTGTGACGGACCCCATACGCGGCTGTGGATGTTCCGGCGTATAGGGTGGATTATGTGATTGTTATGTCACACGTGTCGTTGGAGTTTTCCGGCGTGTGACGGACCCCATACGTGGCTGTGGATGTTCCGACGTATGGGGTGGATTATGTGATTTATTTTGCCTAGGCCCGTCGGAGTTTGTCCAGGCCCTTCGGAGATTTATTTTGTCCAGGCCCGTCGGAGTTTGTCCAAGCCTGTGATGTCTTCTTAATACGATGCAGTGGGAAGAAAGTGATAATGTTTCAATGTGTTTTTATCGGATTGAGAATTGTAATAGATCTGAAATGTATAGTTGGTTCGGTTGTAAATAATTGTCTATTATCGGAGTTGTGACTATTGATGATGAGAACTACGTGTGGCTTGATCCCTTGTCCAAGGGTACGTAGGCAGCTTGGGGTCTCACCAGGTGCAGCCGCGAAATATTATTGTGTTTAAAAGATTTGACCGATTTCTGTGGTATTGGTAAAATGTTTGAGGTCATTAATTACATGGTTTATGTATTAATTGACTTGAGAACAGTGTTGGTTTTATTTCGAACTATCTGAAGGCCGGAGGCCTATTATGTGATTTGCATGAGATTATATTGTGCATGCTGCCGGATGGTATTGTTAAATGTGTTTTATGCAGGTTGGAATTTTTGGGAAATGTTCAATTTATAGGGGGGACTCTGCCGAAATTTCGGTAGAAAGTCTCGTGCTCTTTTCCCTTAATTTGGAAAAGAGGCT